GGGGGGGGGGGGGGGGGGGGGGGGGGGGGGGGGGGGGGGGGGGGGGGGGGGGGGGGGGGGGGGGGGGGGGGGGGGGGGGGGGGGGGGGGGGGGGGGGAGAGAGAGAGAGAGAGAGAGAGAAAGAGAGAGAGAGAGAAACTCGAGCGTAGGTAACCAACAAACCTAATTACTAGGCTTTATTGATACTAAAAGGAAAAGTTCCCCTCATAAAATTTCTCTGAGCTTATTAGTTATTTAAATCAGCCCCAGGGCTGGCCGAGCGACGCCGCAGGCACCTTCTGTCGGCTCCTGGAGGTGAGCAGCCAGCGTCCGCGCCCTGTCCCACGCCCCTCGCAAGGTACTGGGCCAGGGGGCGAAGGCAGGCGCCACGAGCTGAGGTGAGCCATTTGGCAGGGGTGCCGGGCCTGGCACGCTTGGAGAACGCTCCCCGTGGCCTAGGGTAGGACAGCGGGTATAAGACTTTAGGCATAAACAGGTTACAGACAACAGTAACAATGTGCGCGAGCACGCCAAACGGCGCGGAGCGCGGGAGTTCGGTCGGGCGCCGCCAGGCACCGGCCCCTGCGACCAGGGCCGGAGCGCGCGTGTTCGCGCTGCGAGCCGGGCGTGGGACCGCTCAGGCGTCCAGGGCTTGCTCCTGTTCTGTGTGGGCCTGGGAGCTTTGTAATTGGGTGGACACCAGGTGAATTCACACCTTTCTGGGTCGTTGTCTCTTTCGGTAGCTGACAGTCCCACTGTGAGTGTGTGTGCACGGGGGTGGGTGGGGGGTGGGGGGATGATGGTGAACAGTTACATTTATTCCAAATAAGCCCCAACCTACCCAGTGAAGTCCTCTAAGCCCGACGTGGGGGCTGCCAAGTCGTGATGTGGCGCCGGGACAGCGCGGGGCGATGCCCAGCTCCGCCGGGCTTGGCTGCAGGGCCCAGAGGGAAAGCACCGACGGGTTAGAGAAAACTGAGCCCCGGGACGCCGCCATCACAGCCACCTGGGCCTCAGCTCGAGACCAAGGCTGAGAGGGTGTCCGAAGGGCTTCTTGAGACCGAGTGAAAAGGCGAAGCGCCAGCCCAGAAAACCCTCTAAGTTTTCCGCCGCTGCGGACGGGTTTGGACCGCGGGATAGACCGACTACCCACCCGCCTCGTCCTCGGTCTCAGTAAGTGCCTGGGACCATGGGTCCCGCATCAGGCTCTCTCGCCCTCTCGGGCGTGGTTCGAGACCAGCGCGGGCCCAGATCCACAACCCAGTCGGGAAACCGCTCGGGCTTGGGCCTCCTTGGACCCGGCTGTCTGAGCTCGCCCTCCCCTGCTAGGGGTGGGCGCGTATTTCGAGACGCAAGAGGTCCTGCTTGGAGTTTGGGGTGAGGATGGGGTGCTGTGGCGCAGACTTTCCAGGTGTACTTCTCATTACAAAGGGTTGGGGCAAACTTCGGGCGCTGCTGTTTTGCGCGCGCCGGCGCAGTTTTGCGTTGAATAGTCCGGCGATGCCCTGGGCCGGGGCCCTACACATCCCCCGCCGTATCCTTAACCCGAGGACAGGAGGCGACGCGGAAGGACTGGCTCCGGGACGCAGCGGGCAGAGCAGGCGCCGCAGGTTTCGGCCGCAGCCCACGCGGTGGCGCTATCGCAAGAGGACGCCTCAGCTCGGGGCCGGGACCCCAGCAGTGACCCGGGCTCGAGGGTGGCGCGATCTTGACTACGAGCCGAGGCCGCGGGGTTCTTCGCCAGCTTGGGCCCACGGCTTTCTGTTTCAATGAAGGTTGCACGGGATCGGAAGCGCGACTGCCGTCTCCAACCCCGGCCGTCCCGAGATGGGGGCAGGGAGGCAGCGGCAGCTCCTTTGGCGTTTCCTTTTCTTTCCCCCTTTTTCTTGTTAGCCCCGTCGTTTACAGTTGATTAATATAAATACAGTAGATTAGCGGGGCAGTCGTTCTCTTGCTGCACCGCTGCAGAAGGAGATCCACCTATTAAGCTCTCGACTCTGAAAAAGAGTGAAGGGACTCGAGAGCCCTGGGGGGGGGGGGGTTGCTGGGGGGCTTTGCCCTGTGTCGCGGTAGTAGTGCTCCGAGTCCGCAGGCCCTCCGTTTTCCTGGGCCTCCCAACCTGCGGGCGCGGAAGGGACATCCGAATCTTCCACCCAAGGAATCCCCCCAGCTCTGAAACGTCTCCTTACTTTCCTTCCCGGGGGCAGACAATGCCCACACCCGATACACACTTCCCGCACCTGGGACCCCAGGGCTGATGGCTCACCGCGGCAGCTCCTGAGCCCTTTCCGCGCACTGGGCCTCTGCACCGTCGGTTCCCCTAGACCACCGACTCTCCGGCCTCTGCCTAACGCGGACTAGGTGCCCACCACCCTTCCCCAATCAGACGTCTCCCTGGGGCGCATCTCTCTGTCCAGGCGCAGGGGCTCATTTGCGGACGGGAGGAGGAACCTTCACTGCTCCTACCTCGGGAGGCCCGACGGCTTCCTCACCGCTCCGCCCCGCCCAGGCTCCCTGAGCTGCCGGGGGAGCAAGGAGTAATGTATCTTTGCCTGGCGCGAGCCGGGATTTGTCTGGCTCCGATTCCGACAAGGAAGGCGTGCGGATAACGAAGTAAGTGTCCCCCGCCCCTGCGCTCCGGTCACTCCTCAGAAGCCCCGGAGCAGTCTGGGAAAAGGCTGGAGCCCACCCTGGTCGACCTGTCCTTCAAGGCGCATCCTCTTGGGGCATTCTGGCCCCTGGCTCTTGTCCTCTTGGCACATCCGATTTCCAATCTAAGCCCCGCGCCGCTATGCTGTTCACGAAAGTGTTGGTTGTCCAACTCCACCGACAGTCCACAGAGGAAATTGGCTTCAGAGCTGGCGTGGGCTTCATTTGAAAGAAATGATTCCCTCCCGCCCTCCTCCCGCCCCCAGCAGGGCAAACTCAGGGGAGGAGGCAGGCCCGCTTCGGTCCCTAGAAGCCGTCGAAGGCTTTTGACGCCGACAGTTTCCATAGTTTTCCCTGGGTGTCCCGGGGTGGAGGGAAAACGCAGCACAACTTTCAGGTGCTAAGAGCCAGAGCACTGCCGGGAGGGCCTCTTTGCCTGAGTGGCCGAACGTGAAAGCCAGGGAGCCTGGGGATGGATGCTGGGCCTGCAGCGGTCGGGATGGCCCCGCCAAGAGAGTCTAAGTCCCGCGCCAGGCATCCTGCACCCTACGTCCGGGCGGTCGGGCCTAGGTCGTCAGGAACGGGCATCCGGGAAGGAAGGATAACCAGGTTCCAGGGTCTGAACGGCAAAAACCTCAGTGTTGACAGAGGGACAGCAAGAAATGTTTTCATTAAAAGTGCAAGCCATAAGAAAAAGGAGAAGAAAGGCCTGATAAGAGGTAGGGAAAAAAGGGAAGATGGAAATAAAAAATCATGCACGTTTAAGCCCAGCGAAATGATCCGTTGATTTTAAAAATAACAAATCTCAGCGTGATTATGAAAGACAGGCGACCTTTGACTAAATGACATTAAAAAAAAAAAAAAACCTGGGGGTGGGAGAACGAAGGAGGGGGAGTTTAAGCAGATTCCCGACAAAAACGTCAGTGAGAAGCAAACTGAGGGATAAAAATGTCCCCCAAATGTGAACTTTATGTTTTGAGCACTGAAGCAAACTATCTCGTAGTCCGCAAAAATGCTATTTGGATCAAAGTATTAAAAAAAGACAAACGTAACTAAACCAATTATTTTCTTGAGTGTGATTCTGTTTAAAAAATGTTTGGAAATAATCCATTTAAGAAATACAAAACGAAACCAAACAAAAATGCTTGAATCATCATCAAATTTATTTGTTTCCTGTTTAAAAAGTAGAAAATCCCAGCAAAAGGTAAAAATGTTATTTAAAATATCTCTTATTGTAGAAATTAAACATGCTGGAAATAAACGCTTACTTCAGTTTAAATATGGTCAATACAAAATTTGTGCAGTAAGGCGTGTATGTAATTTGAAACAGAAGAGGCCTTTATAAGGGACAAAACTCAAGGAAAAAAAAAAAAAAAAACCCCACACCAGCATACATTGCAAAACTTCCTACAATTCTCCTTTTTCAAATCGAAAGAAACTTGTAAAATGTGTTACTAAACATAAATCTGAAAACATTCAAAATATGCTTCTGGTAATAATTCATTATATTTGACATTTTCCTTTATATTAAATGCAATTTAAAATAATTCAGCCTTTTTGTCCAAAATGACAGATTTTTTTCACTGTTAAATACGGACAAGAGGAAACTCCAATAGAGAGAAAAATCAATGAATTTAAAAGAGTGCAGAATCTGAAAACTAGCTGCAACACACATTTAATTTTACTTAATTGTATACTTTATTTAAATAGCCTTCTCAGGGATTTAATAATTTAGAATCAACAGTTCTCTTCAAAACATAATAAAATATTTACACTTTATAAAATATTAACCGATTAACAATACGGCTGTGTTATTTATAAGAGTGTAACTGAAGTACTGTAATCATGCTGTTGACACAAGCCTGTAAGGTTAGAGAAGTGCTCCTTAGCAAAATGTAAATGAAGATCTTCAGACAGTGGTGTTTATAAAATAGCTCATTAATGACTTAGGATTGAATCGCTCCAACCATTCGCATCATCAGATATAATAATAGTGACGAATCAGACAGGAAAGATCCTGGCTAAACCATTTGCATTTTTTCCCCCCAGAAGTACTGAAGTCCTAATACCACCAATTCTTCTAAGTTCCTGGACATTGATCCGGAGGAGGATTCCGCAGTTCCACACCAAGGTAAGGAAGGAAATAGCATTATTATCGTTGTTAAGCTATTAATAAGAAATATGTCTTTCCCCATTCTGAAAACGGACTGTTTGACAGTGATAGTTGGTTTTTGCAAAAACCCCTTCCTATTTCGACACTATATTACAGATTTTTAAAAGTTTCTCCATCAAACTTACAGTTTGTTTCTTTACAGCCAAACACCTTTTAGTTACCACCACGGGTTGATTTACTTGAGACACTGCCCCCACCGACTTCGAATTGTGCATTTTCTCTACCTCGTTTGACTGGGATGGGACGGGTGGGGGGTGGGGGAGTGGTGGT